AGGGACACAACCCCGCTTGCTTCATCTACTTTGAGAACCACAGTTACTCCTATTGGTACCGTTTCTGTAGAGTCTCTCACAACAGATATTAATTCTCTTTCTCCAGTCACACCCTCAGCCACTCAAACAAGTACGGTCCATGTTCAGACATCTCCGGTCTCTACTCCAGTGACCAGTAGTACCTTGACAGCATCCAGTTTCCCTGTATCACTTCCATCTTTCCCAGCCACAAAGCCAGTACCCACTGAAACCACAGACACCACCCCTCTGTTTACCCCACCCACAATCCCTGCCACCCGGGCCACGTCCACCCCTTCACCTCCGACTGGGACGTTTGCCACAACCAGAACTGAAGTCCCCACTCCCACATATACGTCTCCCCCTGCCACCTTGATCACAGCATCTCTTAGCACTCCCTCGACCACGGAAGTTGTTAAGACTGGGACCTCAAACATGGTAACACCACCCACCTCCACAGCAGCTCTCAGTACTTCAGGTGTTTCTCCCTCTTCAGCGTTCCCTATATTGAGTACTTCTACTAATGCGATAAGCACCCCTTTTGGTACCATCATCTCCTCTTCAATACCTGCAATAACAATATCATCTCTATCTTCTACCAGCCCAAGTTCAGAGACCTCCACGACAAGTAGTTCTTTTTCTACCTCCTCTCAAGCGTCCAGCACAGAAATCACAGGTCCTTCCTCTATCACTACCTTTCCTACTTTTTCATCAACTGAAACGACAAGAACTTCCCCCACCATGACTTCCCTCATAACCTCTCCCACCCGAACGACCACCATGCTGACTCTGTCTTCCACCACCCCATGTCCAGAATCCATATCAGTCACAATAGTGTCTGTTTCTCCCACCACACCATGTATTGAAGTGGGTCCAAACACTGATGTTACCTCTACACCCACCGTCCCGTTGTCAGTTTTTACCTCTACTACTGAGATGGCCACCTCTCCCAGTTCCACAACCACGACAACTCTCTTCCCTGTAAAACCGGACACTTCCACTTCCTTTCTGGAAACTCACCCCACCAACCAGACCGCCGCTCCTGGTCCTGTCAGCACTGGGACCACTCCCATTAGCACGGTTTTCCCGAGCACACAAAGATCCACCACTGGGACCTGGATCAGCACCAGCTTTGTAACTACCCCACGTGTAACGGGCTTCACTGGCCTCCCACCGACCATGAAGCCAAGTAGCAGCTCTTCATCTTCCATTGTGACTACAAGCAAGTTGACAGCCCCCAGCCCAGCCATCAGCACTACTTCACGGACACCAGCAGGCACCACCAAGACTCTCTCCACCGTTACGTCATCCAGGACAACTTCAACCACAACCCAGACGACCACACAGTCCAGGCAGACCACCACGGCAGGTTTGGATCACTTGCTTCCTTGTTGCCTCTCCTCCCTCTCCTGCTAAATTTCCATGACCAAGGTCAGTCCTGGCCTGAACTTCCCCTTTTTGCTTGCTACCCAGAAGGTTGTCAGAATGGAGGCACCCAGACGCAGGACCGCTGCTCCTGCCTTAGCACTTTCTATGGCCCCCAATGCGAGTTCGCTGTGGAAGAGATAAATATGGGTGAGTTGCTCTCTGCACTTTCCCTCAAGAGGCGCCACGCCTCAAATGGGCCCGATCATTTTGCCAAATCTCTTCATCTGTGCTTTCTCCCTCGTGCTCTCCTCAACCCCAGACCGTGACTACTCTCCACCCTTACCTCCAGGAGGCCGCTGGGGTCACTCTCTTTTTTGATATCTCCTCCCAGTTTGTGTTGCTTGGAGTTGTATTAAGTTCTAATTTCTCCTATAACAAATTACCACAAACTTGGCAGATGAATAATACAAATTTATTATTTTGCAATTCTGTTGATTGGAAGCCCAACACGAGTCATGAAGGGCTAAAATTAAGGTGTTGCCTAGGACTGGTTCTTTCTGGTGGCCCTCGGGAAGAATCCATTCCTTTGCCCTTTCCCAGACTTGAGAGCTGCCCATCCTCTTTGTCACAATGCCCCCTGGCTCCCTTTGATGCCAGCAGCATTGCATGTCTGTTCCTTATTTCCATACTTACATCATTCTTTGAGTGATTCTGACTTTTCTGCCTCCTTCCTCCTCTCTCTATGGACCTTATGATTTTACTAGGCCCACTAGATATTCCTTGTTAATTTTCTAATATTAAATAAGCAGATTAGTACCCTTAGTTCCATCTGCCACTCTGATTGCTCCCTGTCATGTAGCATAACATATTCCCAGGTTCTGGGGGTTAGACATAGGCACCTTTTTTATTCTGCTTCACTGGGGGAGCCGAGAGCCTACAGAACTGACTGCTGGACACTCCCACTTGCAGTGTTTCTCACATCTCGGAACAACACCTTCCAGAATTCCTACCTCTCTCTTTCCTGCTATTCAGTCAGTCCTCAGAGGGTCCATGGGAGCATCCTCTGGGTTGGGATGTTGGTAGTGATGTTGGACAGGAACGGATTGTGAAATGACCAGAGCAAGGCATGTCGTGCAGACAAGGTGGACGCTGAAGTGGGCATGGAGGTGTCTGTCAACCAGGAGTTCTCCCCGGACCTCAATGACAACAGTTCTAAGGTCTACAAGGATTTCACAAAAGCCTTCCAGGATCAGGTGAGGAGGAAGTGGGGGAAAATTCAGAGGTATGCCCTTGCAGTGTAGCTTGGGCCCGGACGTGCCATCTGATTGGAGGTTCAGATGTGAGCTGGGATCCTTGGCATTTCAGATAAAGAAGATTTACCAAAACGTGCAGGGATTCAAGGAGGTGCAGATCCTTTCTCTGAGGTAGGACCCCTTTCCAGGGCTGTGGAGGCAGTGTCAAGTGTGTGTGGTGGTGGGAGGGGCACACAAAAAAGGGCCAAAGAAGCCATCCTTTGCTTTTGGAGTCATTCAATGTCACAGAGAGGGATGGATGGAGGAGGCGAAGGAACTACTCCATGAAGGGTGTTTGGGGATCACCTTCAGGATTCATTCCTCTTTAGGAAGGATGTCTCCCCTTCCCTTGAAGCATGTTGGATGCAGAGTGATTGGGATCTACAGGGAGGAGGTGCCTGAGGCTTGGTGCCTGGTGTCTGGACCATAGCTGGTCTCTCTGGTTGGCACCTGATATAGTGGACGGGTCAGCAAGAGGGAGGCAGAGAGCCCAGGAGGGCACGGTTTGATTATGGCTTGAGGGAACACAAAGAGAATGTCAATCACTCCTTGTCCCGCCTACCCAGGCTGCCCAAGGCAGAGAAGCTAGCAGCCCCTTCTGGACATAATCAGTCTGGAATCCCATCTCATTGCCTCTGCCCCTTCCTGCCAACACCCGCATAGCTGTGGCTGGTCTGGAAATGCCCTTCTACAGTTGTATGGTGGCTTGGGTCTGGGCACCTTTTAAGGCTCTCTGCACCCCACTCCCACCCCCAGGAATGGCAGCATCGTGGTGGAATATCTAGTCCTGCTGGAGTTACCCTTCAGCACCCAGCTGGAGGAGGAGTATGAGAAGGTGAAGGTGGCCTTGAAGGAGGAGCTCCAGAATGTCAGCCAGGATGGGAACAGCTGCCAGAATGACCAGGGTGAACAGAAGCTGGGGGCCTGGGGCTGGAGGGAGGGGTCAGGGTCACAGCCACCATCCCAGCCTGCTCCAGCTCACACAGGGGCCTACGGGGGGCAGGTGTCAGCTCTGTGGTACCTCAGGCAGGATAGGAGAAGAGAGACGGGTCCACAGAAAACTGGGTCAAGGGTGAGCCTAAGGAAGGGTTGTCAGAACCTAGGAGCTGCGGAAGAGAGAGTTGCTCAAGGTCTCCCGGTGGCTGAGGACCCCTGGCTATTCAGGGGACATGAGGGAGGCCCAAGGAGCCTTCCTTCATGGCCCATCCAAACCTCCCCCATACTGACAAAGCGCTCTCTGTCCCTTCCTGTGCCTCCCCCGACTCCACCTGTGCCTGTGGCCCCCAGTCCTGTGTTTTAAGCCTGACTCCATCAAGGTGAACAACGCCACCAGGACGGAGCTGTCACCTGAAGGTGAGAGGTGGGGCAAAGGGCTGAGTGGCCCCAGGTGGCGGGGATCCCTCTCACAAGGGACAGCTGTCCATTGAAATTCCCAGGGAGGAGGGGAGAACTTTTGGGGAGGCAAGTGGTACCGGCCTGGCAAGGCTGCCTCTCAGGTCCTTGTTAGTAGCTTCCATGTGAGGAAGGATCAGCAGAGAAGGTGAGGAGAGGGTGACGGGCCTACTCTGCACTCATCTAATCCCACGGTCTACCCGCCGACAGGCCACCAGCAGAAATGCAGTCCTCTCTCCATTTTCAGAATTACCATAGCCAGGCCCCAGAGTAGAATGCATGAGGTCTTTACGTCTGCAACCCCCTACCTATCCCCCAGCCATCTGTCGCCGCGCTGCTGCCGAAGGTTACGAGGGTTTCTACTTCCCTTTCCTGGAGGAGAACAAGCTCCGCTGTGTCACCAATTGCACGGCGGGCTTGGAAGGCGCCATTGACTGCCATCAGGGCCAATGCGTTCTGCAGAGGAGTGGTCCTTCTTGCCGGTGAGGCCCCGCCCACAGCCAGCTGGGCCAATCCCCGACCCCTAACCGCGGCCGGCCAGAGGCCCCGCCCACTTCCCCCAGGATGGAGCCCCGCCCACCTGCCAGGACCGGGATGGTCCAGGGGCGTGGATGGACCAGACCCGGGAGGTGGTGAGGTGATGTGACCTGTGGCCCCCCTCCCCCAGCTGCTTCTCCACGGACACGCACTGGTTCTCGGGCCCGCGCTGCGAGGTGGCCATCTCCTGGAAGGCCCTGGTTGGGGGCCTGGCGGGAGCCGGGGCCCTGCTTCTGTTGCTGCTGGTGACGGCGCTGAGCGTGTTCCTCGTGCGCTCCCGGAGGAGGGACAGGCAAGGCCGAGGCAGGTGAGTGAGCTGGGGGTGGATGGGTGACGGGAAAGGCGTCTCCGACCGCGTTACCCTGCCCTGACGACGCGGCGCCCTTCTGGCAGGTCCAGGGACGACAGGAAGTGGTTCGAGACCTGGGATGAAAACACTGCGGGGACTTTTTCTAATTCGGGCTTCGAAGATGACAGTGAGTGTTGACTTCTGGCGAGGGTGGGGGGTGCTTCCCTGGGCACCATTTCCTCCCGGGGAAACTAGAAGACTTCTCCTGTCCAAGACAGGCGTTTACCTCCTGCCCTCGCTGCTTCCACGCGCCCCCCTCTAAGGCCCAGGTCCTGCACACGCCCTCCCTTCACGAAAGCTCCCTGAGGCCCCGCCTTCCTCACATTTTCTTCCCTCCCCCTTTTCCTCCCCCTGTTCTCTTTTCTCTTTCTCTAGTTTACGAAGAAAACTTCCCTGTGGCCTTGGACACCGTGGACACCAATGCCACGGTGAGGGGTTGGGGATGGGTTGATGGTAAGGAGCTGTCACAGGTCCAGCTCCTGATGCCCCTATCCCAGGGCAGGGGGCTCGCTGGGCCAGGAGGCAGTGACCTCTTAGCCAGGCCCCTGCAGGGTGATTCCGTTCTCACTCCCCGTCTTGTGAATTCTATGGCAGGTGCATATTCACAGACCTGAGATGGCCTTGTCCTCACTGTGAGCCCACACTGCCCTCTCCACCTGCCCAGACAGCGGAGAGAACCATCTGCACTGCCTTTGGAGAGATGGCCGCAGGCTTTTGCGGCGCAGTCTTCTAGTTTCCTAGGGCATAACAGACCTCCATCTACCCTCATCCCCCAGCTTGGGTGTAACCCACCTGGAGACCCGGTTTATTCCACGCTCTTCCACTGTGGGACCTTGGGCAAATGAGTAACTTCTCCGAACTTGGTTTGTCCCCTGTAACATTCAAGTGGCCCACTCCTCCTGATGCCTCCTGTGGGTTTCAGTGAAGCCAGGTGTCCTGGGTCTGACCTCTGTCCCAATGCACCTTCCTGATGGCCTTCATCTCATATGGCTTCACTCACATCCCCAGTCCCCATGTCCTTCCCCGAGGCTCATGCCTCTGTCTCTCCTTTTCCTGTGTGCATCCCTACTGCCAGCCAGGTCCTCCCCCAGTACCTGTAAGCAGCCTGCAGCCTGTCCCAGCCTCTTACCCTGTCCTCCTGTAACTCCCTGCTGCATCCCTCCACCACTTCTTAACCCTCTCCCCTCTGAACCCACTTCTTCTTAAGTCCCTCCTCCCCCACACTCTGCCCTGTGTCTCCCTGTTTCCATACCTTCCCCTTCCTCATCTTTCTACCCTCAACCCTAAATCCCCCCTGCCTCCCACATCTCCGTGCCCCACTCCTAAATCCCCGCTCCTCCCCACCTCCCCTCCCTTGGTAGGTACAGATGCCCTCTGCATCTTAGGACCCCCAACTGGTGTTCCCTAGGCCAGGTCCCCCATTCTGAGTCCCCATCCTTCCTGTCACCCCTAAGGGCCCTGGATCCCGGTGGGTGGGGGGTGGCAGGCAGGTTCCCAGGTCCCTGAAGATGAGGGGAAGAGGGGCCCTGAGGTGGGAAAGCTCCCTCAGCCCCTCCTCCCTGTTCCCCTAACTCTCCCTCCTCTCCCTTAGTGCCCCCCACTTTCTACCCCTCCCGACCTCTCCTCCCCTTTCCTCTCCCTGGTTCACCCCATCTCTGCTATAACCTGTGAAGCCAGAAGCCCAGCCTTCCTTTGCAGGAAGACCTCACTTGGGGACAGGAAGTCTGCAAGTCTCCAGTTCACCCAACTGTACATAATGTAATATTTGTTGTAAACAAAACAAAACAAAACAAAATACCTGCTCTGTGCCTTTTCTCCCCTCATGCTTTCATCGGTTGAGGAGCAAGTACACTGAAAGAGATATTGTGGGAGTGTTGGTTTCTCCCATTGAGGAAGGAAGGGTTCTTTGGTCAGCTCTCAAGGGCCATGACTGTCTTCAAAGGGAATGTAAAGACTGGAGGACCCATTTTTTTTTCAGGGAGCGGGTGGACGCAGCGGGTGGAAGCCTGTGGAGTTTGTCGTCTGTGCCCCTCAGTGTTAAGAGCTCAGAGCTGGCTTTAGGTGGTGGGTGACTCTGGTGGGGTCACCCACTAGAGTGGTGACCCCCGCCGCTGGCCACAATGGTCAGAGCCGCCTTTGGCTCTGATGGGTAAACCAAGCATCCCCAAAGACCTTGAGACTAGAAGCCTCGGTGGCAGACACACTCCTGCCAGAGCCTGCCGTACCTGGGACCCTCTTGTTCCCACTATTGTGGGCAGCCAATCCCGCCAGACCAGAGCTGAGGGGGGTCAGGGCTGGCACAACCTGCTTCCTTGGGTGGGGGAGTCGGAAAGCCCCTGGGACTTTTGTTCAGGACAGAAGAGGGTACTGGCAGTGGCCACTGTGAGGGTGGAGACCAGAACCATAAAGCCACAGGTGTGAGAGGCAGCCCCGCCCGGGAGAGGCACTGGGGTCAGAGGTGGCCTGGGGGAAGAAGCCACTGCCCTTCTTCGGAAGGGGCCAGCACTGGGTGGATGACGGGGAAAGAAGACCAGAAGTGAGGCCTCTCGGGGGCAAAGGTGGAGGGTTCTTCCCTCGGCCTGGCCTGGCCGCAGCCCCATGCCTGGGCTCTGGCACCCCTCCCTCCACAGTCACCGTCTTTCTGGCATTTGTTGGCCCCCACCTCTTAGCAACCGTCATGCACTCACACCTCTTACTGTCTGTCCCTCCCTCCTGTCCTGCCCTGCCCCACCCGTGACTCTGGCTTCTGCTGCCTAGAGACCCTGCGGAGGGTGGTTCTGGTCTCTTAGAGAGGAAGAGGGTGGCCCGGCTGCCCTTTGGCCACCTCCCCGTGGTCGGTATGTGTCACCTACTCAGCCCCATATGCTCATCTCCACCCTGGGCCAGACAGTGTCCTTCCCAAGGCAAAGGTCTCTGGGGTCCTTTATATAGCTGATCCCTCCCTGGGAGGCACTCATTTCTTAGTCTCTCCTGATGTGGGCAGACCCTGCAGCCAGGGTCTCACGCTCAGGGAGATGCTGGTGACCTGGATCCTGCCGATGGTTTTCTGGCTCTGGGTGCCCAACACTGCCTCCTCCTCGGCCACTGCCACATCCACGGCCATTGCCACATCTACAGCCACTGCCGCATCCACATCATCAGGTGAGTGAGACCTGGCCCTGGTTCCCAGTGGTCCTGATGTGTGCTGGCCTCAGAGAGGGCTGCAGGGGGCTAACCTCCCTTCTTTCTTCCCTCCCTCTCTTTTCAGGGGAGGGGGCTGCTCAAGGGCTGGACACCCTGGCCATGACCTCATCCTGTCTTTGGGAGCTAAAGGGGTCACCCTGGAGACCCATGGGTGCAGAGGGAAGGGCCTGGGCTATGCTATGTTGTTGATGGTTCACTGGAATCCACCCTCCTCAAGGGGCTTCTTCTTCATCTGGGCGGTGGTCTCTGCCTGCCTTCATCCTGGGGGTTGCATTGGCCCAAGTGTTGGGTCAGCTCTTTCCAAACTTCATGGAGACACTGCACAGGTTGCTGGCCCTGGCCGCGGGTCAGGAGCCCACGGGGTGTCCAATAGCTTCCCTCCTGGCCTGGGGAGAGCCTCACGGGGGCCAGGGGCAGCCCCTCTAGTTAGAGATCGCAGAAGGGCTTGAGGGGGAGGCAGGCTCTGAGGTCCTTGTTATACTTTGTCATGGAGGGACTTCCTTGGTAGTCCAGTGATTACGACTCTGGGCTTCCACTGCGGGGGGCATGAGTTTAGTCCCTAAGTGGGGAAGCAAGATCCAGAAAGCCGCGCAGGGTAGCCAGAAAGCAAACAGATAAAGAAAATAAACTTGTCACGGCCGTTAGTTTGGGAAGAGACTGATTAGAAGCTGATTCCCCTGGGTTCAGACTTTCTGACTCCCTAGCAACAGGGAAGCACCCCTGGGGGAAGGAGTGGGCAAAGTGGATGCTCCCATGAGGGGCATTGGGGGAGTGAGCCCAAGGTGCCAGCCAGTTGAAAGTGGCATCGCTTGAGTTGAAGGTGAGGGGTTGTGAGTGGATTGAGGGTGGGGGACTACAGGTGGGGATGTCTCTGGAGGTCTTCAAGGGCAGCTGTGAGATAGCCCACACGGGAACTTAGGTCCTTAGAGGCGACCTCAGTCCACAATGCCTTGATGTACTTCCTTCTCCTCTACCAGGACGCACTGGGGGTAGTGGCTCTGGCTGGGAGAACCTGAGGGGAGAGGAGGCAGGACTGAGGGTGTAAACTTTGTGTTAGGGACTAACACTTCGCCTAACACTGAAAATACGTTAATTACAGACATATCAGCTTTAAGTTAGTATGCAGAGAAAAGGACGCTATGGTGGGGGTCAGCCTTAGGAGGGGTCTGCCTGTCCCAGCTCCCCAGGCGGAAGCTGAGGGCAATGACAGTGAGGAAGGACCCAGAAGTCAGCAAGTGTGTTGCCTCTGTGCCTCCTGCCAGGCCTTAGAGATCCCATCCACACAAGCAAAGATCCCTATTGGCAAGATGCTCATAACTGCAAGGAAAAACATCATGTTGGATCCATTAGCACACTAAGGAGTCAAAAAGTGTCTGTCTCTGATAAGTGCAGACAGCTGTCAGGCGTGAAGAGGTCAGGCAAGTAGGGCCATTCCAGGGCACTCCAGGTCTGAGGACGCTCCAAGGCCCACTGTCCCCGACTCGAAGAAGGATCTGTTATTTGCAAAGACATTTCACAGCATGCAGTCAGTATGACTTTCATTAAGAAGGTTGTGAAATGAAAGGAAGGCAGATAGGAAAGCAAGGGTCAGAGAGGGTGAGAGACTTACCTGGGAACAGTGTGACCGGTAATCATATGATGATCACCATGACCTCACTTATCTGACTCTAGGTTTGTGCTGCCCGTGAGCCCACACTGGAGGGCCCTCAGCCTTCTGCATACCTCCACCCCCCTGCATGTATTCTGGGTTCTCAGGGAAGGGTTCAGACATCAGAGCAGATCTGTGGTTTTCTTTGTTTCTCATCTGCTCCGTCCTCTGGGTTCCCCAGTTCCCACCATGAAGACTGATGAGGTCTTGGACAAGTGAACAGGAGGGACAAGGAATGCCAGCTGGAGAAAGCAGAAAAACACTGCAGGGCTGTGCAGGGGAGTCAAGGTGTAGGAATGCCCTGAAGGCGAGGGGCACGTGCCCGGTTGGGGAAAGCGTACTGGTGCGGGAGCATCTTTAGGCAACAGGAGAACTAAAACCAGGTGGAGACTTTTAGACACCAGAGAATGCCCAAGGACAGAGCAGGGGTGGGTCACCCTGGTAAGACAGATACATTGAGAGCCAACCTGGTTTTGCAGGAAGGGAGACCCCTTCCAGGGCCTGAGAGAGGGCTCCTGCCTACCACTCAGAATTGAATTGCTTGAGGAGACGCATGATCTGACAAAGCAGGAGACTTCCCCGGGAAGGGGCGTCCGGGTGCAGAGCAGTAGGGTCCAGGAACCCAGGAGGACTGCTCTGCCTCGTGGCTCCCTGGTTCCGGTTTTTTTGGTGATGGGATTAGTTTCCAGGCTCTCTTTGGCCAACCATTCTGACTCAGGGCCCTTCCTAGCGGCTCAGCAAGATGGGTGCCAGAGAGGATTCTGGGAGATGATTGGACCTGTGGTGTCTCCTTGTGACCTTTTCCTAATTTTTCTGGTTGGTGGTGTCTTGTTAGTTCTGTGTTCCTTACTAGGACCTCCTGTCACAAAATAACTCACACATGCTTACTATGGTGTATGGCCAGGGTGGGTGGTTTTTGTCAGCGTGCTTCCCCTAACAATGGCAGGAGGCCTTGAGGGTCCATCTGGGAACCCAACTCCCCTGGAAATGGAGAGGAGTTTCCTCTCGAGGATGGGCTGTGGAGGCACCAAGATAGTTCTAGAGCCTGTGTGACTCAAGAAGCAAGAGACTCTTTTTGGTGATTGACAATGGGCTCCAGGCAGGCCTGTTGAGCTTGGGGTGAGCTTGGAATTTCTGGATGGAGCTTTCCTAGAGGTCTGGGCTCAGGAAGGAGGACAAAAACAGAGACACGGTCTAGAATTCTTCATTCTCCACTGCTGCAGGGGCCACAAAGTTCCTACGATGAGGACTGGAGTCTGTCCTGTCCTGTGGACGTGAAGTTCCAAAGTGTTCCTAGGAAGGGTGGGGGAGTGGAGCTGCTTGGAATGACAGCAGGGAACAGGGACCGAGTGTCTCTCTTGGAAGGGCTGCCTCAGGGGCCCCAAGTGGTCAGGGGAGTTCTGGAACCTAGAAAGGCCAAAGTGGAAGTGGAAACGTTCGATGTATAAAACTGTGGCAAAGGCTAGAATGGATTTGTTCACAATAGCCAAAGGGGTAACCTTTGGAATGTAGGTGATGTAAACTTAGAGCAATTAAAAGGAAGTGACGTTTTATGCAGAGTAATAAACTTACTCATTCTGCAAACACAGGAGGCTTGGCTCTGCCCAGGCAGGTGCTCTGAACCAGACATAATGAATAAGCCAGTTTACAGTCTTGTTTACTAGATGGCAACATGAGAATGGGGCAGAAAGAACCACAACCTAAGGCTGGTGGTGAGGCTCGGCCTGGAGAGTGGCCGCGAAGAGTTGGACACAACTTAATGACTAAATAACAACAACAGTAATAGATATTCAAACACTTTAGACAATTTCAGAACTGACAAAGCCATACATAGCTATGGACATAACTGGAATATTGACAACTGGATCCTCCAGGTCTAACAATTTGGAAAGCCAGAGCTCTCTGTAGCCTGTGCTCAGCTGCTCAGCTGTGTCTGACTCTTTGTGACCCCATGAACTGTAGCCTGCCAGACTCCTCTGTCCATAGGATTTTCCAGGCAAGAATACTGCAGTGGGATGCCATTTTCTTCTCCACCTGTGGCCTGAGTATGACCCTAATGCTCAAAATTGCTGGTGTTCATTGAGGGCCTACTATGTGCTAAACAGTGTTCTAAATGATATCTGTTATCTCATTTAAATTTCCCAGAAACCCTGGAAAGAAGTGCTGTGACTGATTTCTGTTTTATACCTGGGGAAACTGAGGCATGGAGACATGAGCTAAGTAGTTTAAGGTTTTCATCCATCAGGTGGAGGAGTCGGGAGGGGAACCCACAGTGTCAGGCTCCAGAGCCCACTTTCTTTACCACTTGCTTTAAGTGGGAGTGTCTGTGTGTGTTAGTTTCTTGGGGCTGCTGTAACAAATTACCATAAACTTGGTGGTTTCAAACAACAGAGGTGTATTCTCTCATAGTGACGGAGGCCGCAAGTCTGAAATGAGATATCCCCAGGGTCCAATCCCTCCAAAGGTTTTCATTGCCCCCTCTGGATTCTGGTGCTTTGTGGCATTCCTTGGCTGTGTGGCATCACTCTAGACTCTGCCTCTGTCATCTCATGGCCTTCTCCCCTGAATTTGTGTCAAATGCCCCTTACCTTTCTCTTATAAGGACCCCAGTCATTGGATTTAAGGCCCAACCTAAATCCAGAAGGATCTGATTTTGAGATCCTTAACTTAATTATATCTATAAAGCCTATATTTCCAAATAAGGTCACACTCAAGCATACAAGTGTTAGGACTTGGACATATCTTTTATTGTTGTTGTTTAGTGGCTAAGTTGTGTCCAACTCTTTGTGACTCAATGGACTGCAGCCCACCAGGCTCCTCTGTCCATGGGATTTCCCAGGCAAGAATATTGGAGTGGGTTGCCATTTCCCTCTCCAGGGGATCTTCCCAACCCAGGGATCAAACCCACATTTCCTGCCTTGGCAAAACACAATTCAACCCTCCATATCATTCTTCTGCAGCAATCAGAGCAACTGCTGTCTTTTCAGGGAGGCAATGGGCGGGGGCAGGTGGCACTGGCTGCTGATGCTAGAAAACCAGGAAGCCCATTCATTCTCCACAGGTGTGTGCAGGGGGGTGGGGGTCGGGGACAGAGCCGAGGTGGCCCCTACCCCGTGTCACCTCTGTGGTGACTCTGCCGGGTGGGAATGACTTTACAGAAAAGGAGATGGGTCCAAGTCACTGAGGCTGTGTGTGGCAGGGCTGAGAGTACACCCAGGACTGAGTGACACAGCCTAGTGGTCGCCGCACTGCTTCTCTTGGAGAATATTCTAGAATGAGCAGAGTGGTGAAGGCAGGCATCGGTCATCTC